TATTGTATTACATTTTATATATGCAATATATTTTAAATCATATTTTATTTAATTCTTGAATTAATTTTATGAAATTTTGCATCCTATGGTAATTTACGTTGATGGTTTACATCCGAATTTATCAATAATAACATTTATTGTAAACGTAACGCATATATTGCATGTAATATGATTAATTATGTGTTTTTTAAATATCTATTGCAATGATTACGTGTCGATATGCGAGAAAATATTGATCAGCGAGAAAACATGTCTTTCATGAAGTATAACGAATTTTGTAACATTATTTATGAAATGTAATGAATTTGCAATATTTCAGTAATTTTAATTTTAAGTTTTAGATTTGTCTGCTTTCCTTTCCAAGCAATTTTATGACTTAATGGTTTGGCAAAAATTCTGGTAGATTGTGGGAAAATATTAAAATCCTCGACTTGGCGGGGATAGTAATCCTGCTGTGCTTGATTACTTGTAGTTGCTTAAACTCGCTTAATTTTCTCGTTCAGAGATACCAGTAGGAAACTGTCTTGAATTTTGAACGGACTGAAACTTTTTTTAACGAACTCTGACATTAGGGATAAAAATTATAATCGTGATGGCAAAAGAAAAGGAAAAAAAAGTTATAACAAATTATTTCTATTATTCCTTATGATTATCTATGTATTTCCTTGATTGTTTTATTCATATAAATAGGAATGTGTAAGTGTGTGTATAATTTGAATGCAATTAGGACAAGTAAAGTGAAATTTTATAATTCTCTCACTATATTTAATAGAGTGTAAAAAGAAATATTTTAGTGGCTCCTGTTTTTGATTAAATTAATTTAATGAAGCGTGAAGCCAATAAGCAATAGATTTTAATCCCAGTTATTCAATGAAATTGCTATTGTTTTGTAATTTTCGTTTGTTCTACTTCCTAATTATCTTGTAATTTAAACGAATAGTTTACCATTTAGTTGACGTCAGCTATTTCCATATTACGCTGTTCGATATAGCTGCATGGCGATATATAGTCTCGAGAGAGGAATGTAATTTACAATCTCTGAAGACACTTTTGTTCCTAGTATTATACGGTTCAATTTTTGTTATCGACCATCGATTCGATATTGGTTTTTCTTTTAATTTAAAAAATTCTCTTTCTCGTTTGTTGCTTGTTTCGAAATTATATCACGGATTTATTTAATACTCATATTTGTTACTAGTATAGAATACTTGTGCAATATAGTAGTCGATGTTTAATTAAAGATTCTATCGAATGTCTCAATGCTAATACGGTATTTTCGTTTTAAAGATGAATGGATAAATGGAATTAACGACATTAATTTATTATGAAGTACCTATAACAAACTTTCATTTACGTCCTGCAATATCAATATATGACTATATGTTCGATTCACTGATTTAGCGTCGAATTATGTTGCAATAGCTGGCAGCTGTAGTTTCTGGGATATTCTGCGTATAATTACTGACCCTTAAATTACTAATGTCTTTCATTTGTCGTGTTTCCTATGTATGAACATATTCCATTTGAACCGCTCTTGTTTGATACTAATCCTTCTACAATCGTTCTACAAAATCCATTATGTTACAGTGTAACCTGTATTGTACTTACAGGATTTATAGCTCAAAGAAAATGTGCAACGACATTAAAACGAATTGCTTGTAGTGATCGATTTCGTCTATTTAGCTTAGGTATACGTCTGGGAATAAAGCTTAGTTTAATTACAGAATAATATTTGAAAATATTTTGAAAAATATTTGATTAGATGCCATACGTAACAAATGTATTGAAATAAAAATTAAACACTATTTGTTGCGTTGAAATAATTTCGTGAATCTTCTTATCGCTGTCAGTAATCACTTATAATTATTGAAGATAAATATCATACAACTAATAACTAAAAATAACGTCATAAATACATTTGTCGTTCATTGATTTATCAGCAAAATTGAACATATTTCTCGTTTTGAAATCATAGATTCACCTCTATTAAGAAATCTGATAGGGTTATGCGTTGCGTGCTCGTCTTTTCGTTCTGCATAGCCTTCAGAGCTTGCAGCCTTAACCTTTGCATTTAATTTATGACCTAGCGCTTCCTGCGCCAAAGAAAACCCTTGCTAAAATAAAGTACCATTATTGAGATTAAATGCACGCGCGTGATACAGCCTCTTAATTATAATGATTTGATCCTTTGATTGTACTCTATTTGAGATTGAGTAGCGCAATAAAGAAACACAAAATAAGAGTGTGTAATGTTGCGATACGTGTATTTAATTTTGTTATTCGAGACAATACACACAATAATGAATGAAAAAATTAATATCTTAACACGTCTATTGTCAATATGTGGCATTGTATACTCATATGTCGATATTGTTACGATTTGTAATATATGTATATAATTTCTTGCTTTTGCATGTATCTCTCTTCTCGGTTGTAGCGAAGTAACTGTTATTGCCATTATAAAACAAGAACTCTTTCTCCGAGCACATCATGAATCTTACACGAAATTTTACAGAACGCCAGTCCAATATCTAATTATTCTACGAGACTTACCCGAGCACAACCTTCTCAACGATCGACAATCAATTTCGTGTTCTGGTCTGGCTTCTGTATCGTCATCGTCATCAAGAGCCCCATCGTTATTGAAAATTACGCGATATAAGAACTCTATTTATAAACAAAAATTTAGAAAGAATCGGAAGAATCGTATTTCAGTATAATTCCACGAGTAAATGGATGTAATCGTGAATCAAAATTAATGAATTATTTGGAGAGTGCAAATCGAAAACTTATTTGTGTCAATCAATCGTAACGCACGATTAAGCGTAAAAAACGACAATAGTAGAACTCGTTCGTGTCTTCGAGTGATTTTGTTTGTGTAATTTAATCTTATAACTCGAGCGTTGTGCCAAAATGGGAATTCCGTGCGTAAGAGTGCGTCCGATTCGACGATCGCGTGTCGTAGAAAATTGGGCGCATTCTTTGAGTATAGACTGAAACTGTTACGACCTTTCGCAATGCTAATTTTACATATTATTAATTACTGTTGTTGATAAAAGTGAATTAATCAGGAATGAAATACGCGTATGGTTAACTGGAAGCGAAATGTGGTAAAATGTGTTCGGAATAGACGTGACGTGTCTATAAATAAACTATTATAATTAATTTTATAATCAAATGTCCACTGCTCGGAAATAAGAATTAAAGTTTCTTCTAATCGACTCGCCATCTAAGCGCTATTTTCTACAGCATGATAATATCCGTTCGATACATACTACGGAAACTACAACAGCAAAACGTTGAAATAAAAATATGAGAAAATGTCAACATGCAGAATCGTTGATAACATAATTTTATACGTCACTACAATAATCGATAATAACAGAATAGACTCAACAAGTAATAATATGTAGATTCTATTATTCATGAAAACAAGTGACTTGACGATGAAGCAACCCGAGCAAACGGTAAGCACCATTGACAGTAAACTGTACTACAAACAAGATGATGCAAAGGGACGCATAGATATATCTAGCTTGGTTGTGGTTTGTTGTCTTAAAGTTTCCTAAATCGCGTACCGAGTGTCCTGGCGAGCACAAAATAAATTAAGAGATACGAGCGGGCTCGTCGACAGCAACAACGGCGACGACGACGACAAAACTCCACATGTTCAGTTTACCTTATAATGACTGGTTAGTTTGGGTCGTGAATAGCTGGGAGGAAATGTATGAATGTAGCGAGAATGAGAGAAAATAAGATGGAGACTCCAGAGCGCAAGTCACAGAGAATGGCAAGTTCATTTTGAGTTTCTTACATTGTAAGAATAACTTACACAAGGATGTTGCGCCTTAATATTTGATGGCATTTGGGGCGACTCAGCGTAAGTGTTGACTAAAGGAGATATTAGTGCTCTTGTGACTAAACAGGATCTTTGTAAGACGTGATAATACTGACAGGATTCAGAACAGGTCACATGACCGTAAATCGAAAATTTCAAGAAAATAATGATGAAGTTTTTAATTGATGAGATAAAGATAAAGATTTAAGAGAAAATATTTTCCATTAAATATTTCTTAGAATAAAGAAATTATTCTAGTAGTTATCTCACTTTGCATCATGTTCAGGACTTTGCTTTTATTTAAAGACAGATGGAAATACTACAGACAGATTTAATCATGTGGGCAACAGGACAAAGGGAAGGAATGACACGAAAGACGATGCAACATCAAAGGTAGTCTTGAGACAAAGGGTAACTTACTCTACTAATCGTTTCATTAGTAAATATGTTACGTGATGTTACGTGATATGTTACGAGATATGCTACGTGATAATGTTGTATAATAATGAACTTTATGAAAGAATCAACATCGAGAATATAAAGAATATGATTTAGAAATCTGAATGTTGAAAAGCGAAAAATTGAGAGATATTTCAATATTTGAAGATATTTTACCTATAATTGATTTGCTAATAATAATAATGCGTGCACATTGTATCGATATGAAGAAGAAAAAAATCAAGTGCTTTAAAAAAAGGTATTGGAATTCCAAAAGTAACGATAAATGATTTTTAAGGTTGTATGTTCTTAATTTTTGGACGCAACAAAGTGTGACAGGGAATTTATCATGATATTTAAAAGGCAAATCCATGTATCAAAACGACCTAAAAATGATGGCGAACGTGGCTTGAATACGAATCACTAATTTAATGTGGTACCATGCTAAATGTGTCACGATGGAAATTTTACTGGCTGTTCGATATTCAGTTGATCTATCGTTTGATGTTCGTTGTGTGAGCATATTCAGACGTGAGAGACAATTTTCTGACGATCGTTGAATTAAAACGTTCCACTGCATGAGATAGAATAAATTAAAAAAAAAAAAGAACAGAATAATGTTATACATTTTTAATGTTAAGATTCTATTGAAAAATTTTATATGTTAATGATGGTGAGAAAGAAATACATACTTCCCTGTTTTCGTTATTTTTAATAGAGAAAATGAGATATATTTGAGATTTAGGAAACTATGTAATTCAAACATTGCAGATTACAGTTTTATGAAACATATCCTAGCCATATAAACACAGCCAGCAAAGAATAACTTTTATTGGGATGACATACATTGCTAATCCGTTTATGATAAGAAACGAAAGCCTTGTAAAGGGACAATCTTTTCTGCATATTTAAATTATCGCCCTAGAAAAGTTTGCATAGTTTACGAGAGTGACTTGAGAGAAAAAAAAAATGCGTATAATTTGCACAGTACGCTACACGGAGCCCGGAGGAAATAAAAAAATCATGCAGCTTGCGAGGCATTATGTCGACGAGTGTAAGCACGAAGCAACGGAACAGTTGAATTTCCTGAAAAAATTAAATCAACAGTTTGAGTTCCGCGAGAGACGACCGCTCGTTACTCATTTATATGTATGCTAAGAACTTTCAAAGCACCTCAAGCGACAGAATTGTGCTAGAAGTTGCCGGGAGTCGGTGACTTCTATCCACTGGCCTTCATCGGAGTAAAGGGCACTCAAGGTCCGTACTCATGCCAAAACCGCATTTTATCATCTCGAGTAGTGACTTGAAGAATCAACAAAGAAAATAGCACCGAGTATCATCATATATATCGCGATACTCGACACTTAAGCGACAATTTATTCGCTCGAGTCTGGGGACTGCTAAATCCCCAGCGAGCACGTTGCTCAGCATTGCGGACGCTGTCTCTGCTGGGACTTGGAACGGAACACTCTGGCTGCAGCTGGCCCCCCTGGATGTTTTGACATTGAGTGCGTTAGGGTGCCGAGGTGGGGGGCGCGTGGTCTTGCTGCCTGCCGTGCGCCGGCGGCGGCGGGGGTGGGGGTGGTGTTGGTGTCTCGGGGGCCACCCCTGAGACCAAAAAAGGTTCCTTACTGAAACATCAGCAGTATCAACAGCCCCACCAGCAGCAAAGAAGCCAACAACACGAGCATCAACAGCAGCAGAAAGTTCTGCAACAAGAGAAACAATATCTTTATCAACCACCGAAACGTATTTGTGTGGCTCAGTTTAAAGAACGTGCACCACTTAGTGATCTCGACGAAGACCTCGATGATCTCGACGACGAAGAGAAGGAATGTGAACTAAGGATAGGCGAAGAAGAAGATTACGGTAGGGAGGGCAGTACTCAGCATCGACTTAGCCCGCGACTACACGACATCGAGGAGGAGGACGATGAGGAAGGTCGTCACGTTCGAGAACGGTCAGTCGTTAATTTAGTTTCGTAGGTTTTTTCATTTACGCTAAGCGTATCGGAATAGGGTTTTATTAATGTTTCATCTTGATCCTTTTAGCGCTATTAGAAGGTTTATGCCGCATTTTACACGATATGTTATGAAAATTACTATTTTGAGTTTAACAGAAATTGTTTGTAGCAGAGATTTGCTATGTCAGTTTCAATCAATCAAACTCAACATGCCCATTCAGCAAAGATTACAGTTGAGTAATAATTCAGTAGCACTCAAACATGATTAGATGGTTCTCTCGTATATGGAGCCCATTATGAATTGTTCTCAGCATAGAATAATCATATTCAATTGTTATACTCATTCGTTATCTCTACTAAACGCGTTGATTATTATCCACATAGTGCGCAATTATTGACTCGCAGACATTGAATTTTAAGAGTGCTTCGTATCATTAATTGTAAATATCACTGATTTACATATCGTGTCGTGCAGTGTAAACAACGCTTTAAGTAGCTAATTGCCGATTTAATTAAATATTCTGTTATGGTTATATCGATAGAATGCGTTAAATTTCGCGATTAATTAATGGCGCTTCTCTCTATGATCGCAATTAACTCAACGGCAGCTCGCGTGTATGTGTGCGTGTAATTCATGCATTATTATCGTTACGTTATGTATTAATAACATTAAGTATTTTACACACTTGACGTAACATATTTCTCCTATGACATTTCTGCACCATGAATAAATGGTTCCGCAATTATAAATTATAAGCAGACGGTGTATATTAACGGAAAATTATATTCGTATCCATTTACGATAACGTTAAACTCTATATAAGTATTATTTACGAAATTTTCAATTGTCATTCTTTACATTATACATTTAATTCGTAATATACGTCTACTGAAACTGTCTGTTGCTGCGAGAGTTTGCTGTAGTTGGTGAACAAACTTTCTTGTTCGGACCCTATGTGTGTTTGATTTACAGTTTTATGGCCTCGGACTGACACATTTCTCAATGTTACGCGTTATGTTGCAGTGTCATGTGTACACATATGCAATGAAACTTACATCTGTCACATATCGATGTCGACGTCAAATCCCGTTTACTCGCCTGACTTTGTTGTTCACTCAATTTAATAGTGCTTTACAGTTGCGAAAGTTACATTTAGTTTCAGCCTCCGAGAACATTCGTTTCGAGAAAAGAGGAAAAGTTATTAATACGTTATGCACAAGCAATTATGTTGCACGAAAATGCTGGTAAATTAATAATTAGGTAGCACGAGATAAATCTATCTCGAGTTTTCAGACAATTTGCATTTATTACACCTCCATTACGTAATAATACATGTCTAAAGAAATTTGTTTCTACTTAATAGTGAATTTCTTTCAGAATGCTAACTCTATATATTAGATCTCTTCATTCAGATCTTTTTCCTTAGACAAAATTAAAAAATATACTATATACCGAATATTGTATTAACGATCTTCAATCATTGGCTTTTTCTTGGTAATACTAAAATGTAGGGCGCACATTCATATACCGATTAGTGCGCCCGATTCAATGGAACTCGTGCGGTTATTGTGCTCGTAGAGAATGGCACGGGAAGATCTTCGATTGGCTACGCGATGAAAGGTAATCTCGAGAATGAGGAGACTTTATCTGTTCGCTATTCATGTGCTATATCAGATTAAGTGTTACAAGTAATTCGGATTGGTTTGCCCTGCGTTTTTGACATACCTGAATGCTCGTGGAACTCCACATCGAGATCCAACTATATTGGACTACTTTTTTTTCTAATTAAATATGAGAAATACCTATTCTCAGTTGAAGCGAATTTTAGTGCTTAAATATACACTTATGTGTTATTATAATTTATACATTCTGATTCTGCATATTGCGCGTATAGAACTTTTTTTGGTCTTGAAATGTATTCATGAACCGATATAGTAATATCACTTATTAAATTGTACAAGGAATTTAATAATTTTTTTATAATAAGCATGATTTTAATAAGAATATTCATAATTTTTTTGGTTATCTAATTTAGTTTTTTTAACTTTTTTCTTTTTAACAATAATTTTTTTCTTTTTTAACAATAAATTTATTTTTAATTTTAAATTATGTATTGTATACCAATCAGTTACAGTGCATACAGATACGAATCGAATATGTTTGAATAAATATGAGAAATATATAGAGAGAAAATCGAATGTATATATAGAACGTGCTGTGTTTCACTTCTAAGATCTGTGAGAATTGGAATGACGATGACAAGATTTTAAATTAAATTACACTCTACCTTAAAACGTTTCACCAACGCGGAGTTCAAGGAAAATATCGCGAGATATAGCTTTTTAATTTTTTTTCTTTTCAGATAAAATATATTTTATGAATAAAGAGAGGAAATATTGTATTTTTTCATCCGAGGAAAATTTATTGATTTGTAAATTAAGAGAAAAAATATGCAAAGAATAAGAGAAATATTTTTATTCCAATATACTTTTATAACTCTCTCATTCATCTTCCAAAATGGCCTCTGTAAGAGCTATGATAAATGTGGAAATTAATGTATCACGTTAATATAGGATTCAATATGACGGGCATTGAGAAGAAAGCTGGTAGCATAAGCACGTTTGACGTACTGAATTTCATTATGGAACGTTGATTCGCTCTTTGGATATTATGAGCTGTACCGCAAACCTTTGGACGCTTGTTTGAACATGACGCGTTAAAATAAACGTTGCACACGTAGTTTACCCGGTTTCTAGTTGTGATTTAATACCGGATACGTTATGCAAGGCAAAGAGATATCTGATACAGAAAAGAAGAAGGAAAAATACAATATCTATTTATAGTCTTCTTTTTTGCTATGTCATGAGAATATACGATTGTACTATAAACATATCGTGTTATAATACTACCATTACATTTATTTCTACATGTTTTATTCACAATCTTCCTCCAGAACCATTAGTTTGAAGTATTCTATTCTTGTTAGATACTTTTCAACATGAAATAAAAATTAGACTTTAAAAGTAAAAGCTGTTTGAGTATCAAAATAATTGCATTATAAGTACGTAAAGTTAATATTGTAAGATTTTTAAGAAATTAATTTTGATTGAATGCTGTTTTAGCAACAATTAGTTTTTTATTGTTTTTATTCAGGAAATAAACATACGAAATGTTTCGAATAACGAGGAGGAAAACAAACATTAAAAGGAGTATCGTAATAGTATGCTTCTTGTAATGAAAGATGGTCAATAACTCAATATCGCTGGGGTGATATGTGCGTCATGACTATCCAATCAGCCGCAGGAAACATTGAGAGCGTGCCCGAAATTTCCCCGAGTGGACACTACCGACCAGATGGAATTAAGGGGATGCGGGCGATGTGGGCTAACAAGAACACGTATCGGAGCTTAAAGCCTGCCATTAGACCGAGTACTTGCGAAGATATTCGCTCTTGATAAAACATGACTTCGATTAATCGGCTCTGATTAAATACGTGTTTAATAACACGAAAAGTATGACGTCAGCGAAGGAAGAAATACTGTTTTAACTTTATCCATATTAATTATCAGTTTGCTTGATACGCAGAATTTATTGAACACATCTATTTAATGTGTTCAATTAATTATTCAAATAAGTAAACTTTTGAAAGCTAATTTTGAGTAAACATTGGGTTATTTTCAACAATTACATGTTTCATATAAAAACTTTTGTTTTATTATCTAAGTAAAAACATTTATCTCTCATATAAGAAAAATTTATTATTTTCTGAACCATTTATTATTTTAAAATGTTATGTCATAAAGTTGTGTTATATAGGTCTTTATTTAAATGCCGTTCTTACATTTTTAAATTAAAAAACTAGTATATAGATCTATGTACGTACATATATGTAAAGTCATCTAGAAAGTGGTCAATCCGGCATTGTTTAGCATTGGTTGCGGTTTTCCTCTTGCAATTCATAGCGGCCTAACACTAATGATGTACGATCGTCGGTTTTACACTAATGGCCATTACTATTAAGTATCTAAGTGCACACGCGAGTTATCAAACGATTAGCTAATTTATACCTGAAGTGATCGATATGCACGCACATAAACCTGCCTATGAACGTACGGTTGAAGAAATATTTGAATTATAACAGTTTTGCGGAATTTAAAAATTTAACTATAAATACTGCCGCAAAAAGTTTTCAAATTGTTTGAGCATCTTAAATAATTACTTTGATGGTCCATCAAAATTATTTTTAAATTTGTATATAACTAAATTATCTATAACTAAATTTTTAGTTACACGAAGGGAAAAAATTTTGACGTTTTAACAATTAGTTTTGAGTGTTCTACTTAAAAATTTTGATTCTCTAACAAAATTATTTTCTGATCTGTACCTGGCTAAATTTTTTTATACTTCAACAAAGTCGTTCTTTCCGTGTACTCCAATAATACCATTTTTCCGTGTAATATATATATATATATATATATATATGTTGTTTATAATTCGTATAGATAGCTGCAGGCAAGCTTTCTCAAGTTACTTAGAGGGGAACATGATCGAACCAATAATTAACTTGTCTCGAGAAAGCTAAAACGGCTGACGTAATTAATGTAGGGAATACTTATAAGATATTAATTAAGGATGTAATGAGGCGGAAACAATTTGAAGATCGATTATCCCTCTCTTTTGCACCGTACAGATTTAAATTAAGCAGAATTTTATTTTAAATTTAATAATATATAATGTAGAAAATAGCATATGTATATATATATTTTAAATAATTATTCCTCGTTTATTGTTAGTTACAATTAGTTGGGTTCATGCTGTTGTTTTATTTTGTATGATTTTAAAAGGTTTGAACTATCATTATTCTAAAAGCAAAAGTCAATCTCCTATTGTCTCACCGCAAAGCTGGATCAGCGCGGGTTTTTCATGCATTGATCGATTTAATATAATCGGTTTAATCACTTTCAAATGTGAAGCGTGAGTATCCACGAGCACCGTTTGATATCGATTGTCCTGATTTTTTGTGAAATTGCATGTATAAGGCAATGCTCCAAGATTAATTTAGATATATCTTATCGATTTGCGCATACCAAGTAATATCAAGTAATATAATAAGCTATTTTTAAGTTTCGCTCGAAAGCTTTTATACTTTATTAAATTCGCGGTACTGTCTATCTTTGACTTGAAAATTAGTGCGGGATATGTTAGAGGGTGAGATCTGAATTATGATGCCATAATGGTCGCATCTTGTCCGTTGCGAAATAGACCATCTGGTAAGCTAATTTCGAGGCGAATCTCGTATAATTAGAATACGAGAGTGGGCCTAAAGGGAACTGAGGGTACATAGCGCATCTTCAGCGTTGCACCAGCATATGTGATTTGAAGTCGAAATCGAAACAGAATTTCAGTGATGCGCGACTATATCAGCGAACGAAGAGAAACGGGAGTACAAAGTGACTATTTCCTTCGACGTTATTCGAGAATTTAGTCCCGCGTATTAGCAGTCAATACGAGTCTATAGGGACGTATATACGAATGCATTGTGATGATAGATATGTGCATATGTGCAAGAATACGGCTATGTAATACAACGATGTAGTCAGCACGAGGTTTCGCTATCATATTGGGTTGGAAAAAGTCTTAAAAGAACTTTTATTTTACAAATTTTATTAAAAATGAACAAAATTTAAATTTAAAGAAAAAGATTGTAAAGCTTGAAATCTCTACTTTCGAAAGGTTGCTGTATTTTTTGAGTTTCTGTGAGTTTGGTCATTTTTACATATAAAAAACTACGAACTGAAAAAGATGAAAAATTTTCTTTTTACTTTGTGGGTCTTTGTCACGTGCTCAAAAAAAAAAAAAATTCCGAAAATTTTCGACTACCTATCGTGAAAGCTTGAAGCTTTTCCTACAAATTTTTTTTTTAATGTTCCTACGATTTTAGAAGAGCGTTCTGATTTTGATTGCTCATAACTTTGTTAAAAATCATCATATCGCAATTGGAAGAAAAACAAAAATTCTTAAAACTGAAATTTTGCTTTATCGAATGATATAATTCTGTAATGAAAATTTCACAACAAATGATGAGTTAGAAAAGGATCGTTTTATTGTATGTAAAAGGGACTTTTTTCTCAATCTAATATTAGGACGACCTGAGATTTTATTTCTTTCTCTCTCTCTCTCTCTCTCTCTCTCTCTCTCTCTCTCCTTCCTTTTCTATTCGCAAAATTAACTCGTGTTACGATATAGTCAATCTGATTGAGCAGAGATTCGCACACGTGCTCCGATGTCTTCAATGCATTGATCGCTTGCCGCGAATCGCCGACTTATTCCGCGTCGTAAAGCAACCTGTTGATGTTTCACATCCCGCTAAAATCGCGGTTAGTCGATGAGAGATCTAATAGCATTATTTAATGTCGATGTTGACGTGTAATAGATATTGTATCCGCGGATTATGTTGGCGCGTTCGTGGATATATGTATACGTGTTATTTTGACGAATGTAGTCACAATCGTATCAAAATGCTAAGTTCTCTCTCACCGGCGAAAAGCACTATATGCGGTATATAATCGGTATTCATGTACCCGGTACCATAGAGCTGGTTTGTCAGCGATAATTCAGGATCTGACGACGTAGAATGTAAGCCCTTACCAGTCAAAGCGTATACAGAGAACGGCGGAAGTAATGTATGAATGCTAATGCTCAGAAAGCCCTGCAACGAATGGATCGATTTGATTAATACACGGAATAATCTGATTTGTGATTATGATTCGCAATAACATCGGTGTACTCAATGTTGATAAGCGCAATCCGTTTAGTCTGTACTGTATTCATTACTCTTTGGCGAAATTAGAGTTTGGAATTTTCTTATGTATATATATGTATTTACTGTTTTTTTTTTTATTATTGTACAGAAGGACGGTTTTGTTAAAATATCTAAAAATTGAGCTAGATACAGATTTAGAGATAATTTTATTGAATCATTAAAATAATTATATAAAAGTTCAAACTAGTTATTAAAGTATTAATAATTTTTTGCAGTATTACACATTATGGTTTTGAGTTCTAAATCATTTGGATGGTTTAATAAAATTATTTTTAGATGTGTGGAAGATCTACATATATTTAAAGTTTATTCGTGATCTTTCTACAAGCAACACACAGTTTTTGTTGTATCGTAAATGTAAAATTATACGTATGCATGTTAAAATTTTGTTAAATATATTTTTTTGTTGCGTTTATGCCTAATTTGTGATAAATTTTATGAACCGATGGATTACGTGTATCTTAAGATGTTAATATGATTCTGTGGATGGTATTTATAGTGCATTCTTATCTTAAAACGGTTTTAAATATAAAAATCAACGATGGATCTCTTGAACTACGTAAATCTATCAGTTCACAAAATCTAATATTTTATTGCCCATCATCACAGCAAAAAGATTTTAACAAAATTTCAGCACGTATAATTTTACATTTACAATACAACAAAAACTGCTTATAAAAAGAGATTATAAATAGAATTAATTCGACGTAAAAAAAAAACATACACAAAAAAAGATTTTCTAAATCTATTTTAGGACGATTTATTAAATCTATTTTACAATCCATTCGTATTTAAGAATTTTTTGTAGGCCGATTTTTATTTTTGCAAAGCAGCTTATTTGTTTCACTTTGTATAAGTACTTTTGTGTTATTTTTGTGGAATTATCTTGTTTTGGATTATCGTCCGCATTATATCTTTTTTATCGGATCATTATTGGACATAGATGAGTTGCATTTATAAAACACAGTCGACTGTACCAGTGTAAGCGCGTTTTTCTTATATTTTTCTAGAAATCTTTTGCTATATATGGACGCTGTCCAACAGCTCCACAACAAAACCATCTTTTCCATTTTTGTCGCAGCCATTTTCGTATTGTATTACGCACAGTGACAAGAGCAGATAAGAAATAAAACGAAAAAGAGAAAAATGTGCAACGAAAGATCCTTGCAGCAACACGATTGCCGTCTCTCAGGTCCAGAGGTGTCAGCTATACTTGTCATGGTCCATTTCCCTAGCACATTCGGTTACCGTAGCCAACGAAGTAGAAATCTTATCATGACAAATGACATGTCACGTCAGTAATATATTATGTTTGACAATTATGTTTGAGATTCTTCAGAATCAAGATTAGATTAAAAACTTGATGCGTTTTCTGAGACATCTATTTAACGTTTTATTGTTTGACATAATAAATAGGATGGATAATGAATAAATTGTAATCACGGATTTACATATATAATGCGTAATATTGATCAGAGCAGCTCTTACAATTAGCTATATAGTCTGATACGATGACCCGAGCTAGTTAATCGTTGTAATTAATTCAGGAATCGTCTAGAGTGAGAGAGAGAGAGAGGGGGAGGAGAAGGGAGAGAGAAAGAGAAAGCGCCACCAGAAAGGCCGGCCGTTACTGTCACTGCATTAATTCTGTAATACGGGTATAATGAATTTAGATATTACGACGTAGCTCATGAACATATCCCTAGAGGTAGGATAAAATTTTCAAATAATATATTCTACTATATATTACAAGTAATATAACCTCCTTTTTCTATGGAATGTTTCATACATATTCCGTATTATTATATTTGAATGATAGACTAAAGGTCATGAATCTCTTTCAAGCTAAGAGAAATTTTTTTCATGCGAATCCACATGAAGAATCTTATGAATTCTTAAGTATATTGAAGTTTTTGGGTGAACAAGAAAGTAAGGCAAAAAAGGAGAAAGAACTGAAAAGATAAAAAGAAGAGTATAAATTAAAAATAAAAGACGTTATATAAGGGCGAGATTCTTGAAACGCAGCAACAGCAAATAGATTGTCGGTTTAAAGTGCTTTCGCGAAAAAAGAATGAACTTATAGGAATTTGATCGATTTCGTTGACATGATATAATTTAAGGAACTCTTAATTAAAGTGGCGTGATATGTACACGTCGTATATCATTACCATACACGCGGTCTGCCTCGCTAATTTAACACGATGAATACGTTGGTATGCCAACGTATGTTTCCAACACCATTTTCAGACCTTATCATCCGAAAAAATCGCCTACGCCGAGCGGCAGCAGATCGGGTTGGCGTTCCCGTAGAAGCATCACGACGGCAGGAGCCCCCGGAGGGCACCAACAACACCACGTGATTGCTACTGCCGCCGCAACGGCTCAGGCTAGGATGCAGGCCGAGCAGGGCAGCATCGGCGAGCTACGTGGGTACCACAATCTGCGATCCCGCAGGCACACCTTGGCCAACGTTCGGTGAGTGTCTCGATTTTAGCCATTACACTGGGATGAAAGGTGAACGGAGCGCCGATCAATACTTGCAGATGGCAAGAACGTTCAGGAAATATCGTACGGATGTCTAAAAGGGATACATTTTTCAGATGTTCTTTAAACATTCGTTGTGCGGATGGATCTCTGCGTTGTTTGATTTCTGTTATTTACGATTGAAATTGTTTATTGAGAAACGCGTATGGCAACGAAAGAGATTTTGATTCAATATAGAGTCGTATTGATTTATCTACAGTCTATGCAAGTGTTGATTTGCAGAAACGGAAAATCTTTTTGAATTTTTTAAGATACAGATTAAAATGAAACATTTACATGTTTCGAACTGTCTATTTTGAATTGAATCGATATATTAATATATTACAGATACACATACATGTGTAAAAAACATTTAAATATGAATTTAATATGTATTTGATTTTATCGTTGCACTATACGCTACAGCGAATGAATTAAAAGCACGCGGAGAAGCATTTATTCATATAATGAAATTGTTTGCATATAGTATATCATTGTAAAGATCATATTATTGAAAATTACATACTATCTCCTTTTTAATCTTTTATATCCTTTCATTTTTTACTGGCGTTGTCTCAACCAGAAATCTAACACAGGAGTTTGCTATTCACGTAAACTCTGATTAAATTCTGTGATGCATTTTTCACATTTTATTCATGATTCTGCTGCTAGCAACTCTTTCAAACTTTTTATCACTTTATCATAACGTTTTATAGCATTTTCACAGCTTACTGTGACTGCACATGTTTTTTTTTTTGTATTATTTTAGCATTATCGAATAGATAAAATTATTGGCAAAATAAATGCCACAGTATAATATTAAGTCAAATATTTAATTAAACGATTAATACATGTTATTATACGACTGATTGAATAAAATAATGATAATTACATGCGTTTAATCTTCACAATAGCAATTTCCTTTTTTAATTGGTTTTACACCAGTTTTCTCTAATTTAAAACAAATGCAACTTGAAGATAACGGTTCCACAGTCGATTTTTCCGAATCCTCTAAAATTGGCTGTAAATCATCTTTTCTTTTTTGTTCAATAGGATTAGGTTTTTGCTTATGTATTTTGGCCAAGCAAGCCTGGTCCCTTTTTTCGATCACTCTTTTTCGCGATACCACATGATATGTTTTACCAGTCAGTGACACGCTGTCGCAACTTTCTTGATCATGAGAGATCTTCTTGATGATCTTTTCGACGTGATGTCTCTCACGCGGCATCCTGCTCTGCATTTTCGCTTTGCAATCGCTACATAATTTATCATGCGATATTGGATGATCGATTTTAGGGCGAATAAACATACGCTCGAACGCAGCTACCGCCGGAGGCGTTGCATCTATCTGCGGTTGAACCTCTAATCTAGGTCTTGTCGGCGGCGGAGTCGGAGTTTTACCGCATGAACAACAGTTACAAACCGCTCTGCCTGTTTCGTCGGACCTCCTGCCATAATTAATTGTCCTAATCTCGCGTTCTGTGTCCGGTCGCGTTAGCCCGGCGGCGATCTTTATAGATCGTAGAAGTTCATCCGTGGGCACTCTCGCGCGTTCTCTTTCATCTCTTACAACTCGATCGTGGCTAACGTGGCTTGTTTTATCCGTCGGTGATCCGGTGCTGGAAGTCGTGACGGTCGATTGGTCCTTTAAGCGTTTGAGCATTTTTCGGCCGGTTATTTCAGGACGGTCGCTGGTGATTTCAGTTCTCGGTGCTTTTAACTCGGTTGGTTTTAAATATTCACTAATATTTCGTATACGGGACGGTTCAGCGGTCGAAATTGTCTGCGAGGTTATTTGTACAACTTCAGTTTTGACGGCCTCGGTATGTACGACTTTGGCTTGTTCGACCTCATTTTGTACGATCTCGGTTTGCATCATTTTGGTTTGTACGACCTCGGCTTGTATTACTTCGGTTTGTACGACTTCGGTTTGAGGGACATCAGTTTGCGGAATCTCGAACTGCCTCGTGGTCTCGATCGGTGGCCGCTGCAAGTGAAGGAATCATACATTCAGAATGGTCATCCGCTGTTAATCAATACATATTTCAGAACGAGACAACAAACTACAATTTGAAGCTTCTGTTCAGAAGCCATATTACTCTTTCTTAGAAAAACATTAAAATTATATGTTTAAAATTAGTTATGAAACCGATAACATAGATATTATTACACTCAAGTCTATTGTTTGAAAATTATAAAAAATTTTTTGACATAATTGTGATTATGAAAGTTTATAACAGTGTAAGATGCTTGGCGATCCATGGTTTTGCGATTTTACTTGTGTTTGCGTTTTTTTCTTCATATTGAATCTCGTTAGACTTAAGAACATCAAATCTATCAATTCGATGTGACTTACTTCGATATTCAATTGGAGCGTATATGATATAACTGAATATGACTCAAAAAAGAGTCGAAACGTATTAAATTCATGTAATTTTGAATAAAGGATTTTATATATCCAAGTTTATTGATTGGCGTATCAACAACAACGCGGCACTCTCATTCGCCTCCGAATATAGGATTTCTTGTGGATTCGATTAAAATTATAGTATTTGTCAAGAAATTATTAATTATTAATTATTAAGAGAGAGATAATTGAAGTGAATATAATATTTACTAACCAGGCAACATTCCAGGTAACATGGTGGTTTTGTGGGTATAATCTGCTCCTTCTCTTTGATCTTTGTTACGATTAGATACGGCTGTGCCACTAGTCGTGGATCGAATGGTATCGTTGTTACTTCCATTTCGGTCAATTTTATCTCAGCAATTGGAATTTTTAATTCTATCTGGACCATTTCTGGCTTTTCCTCTTCTGGAATTTCTTTTTTTATTTTTGGAGTTGGTTTCTTGGGCAGCGGGACTGTCGTCAGTATTTCCTCTTTTTCTACTTGAGGTATTTCTTCTTCTTCTTCAGGTAATTCGACGGTCGGTATAAGTTTTTTCGGCAATGCAACTTCTTCTATTTCTTCATCTTTCTCTTTTTTAATTTCTACTTTCAACATTTTTTCCGAGTCATCGATCTCCTCTTCCATTTCTTTTTTTATTATTGGTATTGTTGGTACTGGCTGAATTATTTCATTCTTTTCTTCTATTATTACATCTGCGCGTGGTAATAATTTTTCTGCTTCAATTTCATCTTTCTTTATCATATTTAGTAGCAATTCTTTGGATTCAATTTGTTCTTTTTTTATTATATCCGTAATCGGGGAAACCTCTGCGACTTCAATTTTTTCTTCTTTTGCCATATCCGAAATTGGTGGTAACTTTACGGCTTCATTTTTTTCTTTTTTTTCTATGACCTCAATTTGTGGCGATTCTGTGACTTCATTTTTTTCTTTTTCTGTTACTTCGGCGATCAGTAGCGATTCTGCGATTTCAATCTCTTCTTTTTTTATTGCGGGTTTTTCATTTTCGATTTTTTCTTTAATTACCGCGTCCAGAAGCAATGATTTTTCTTTTTTATTCAAAATAGGTGTAGGTTCTTCAGTTTTAATCTTTTCTTCTATTGCATTTGTAATCGCTTTTTTATCATCTATGATATGGAATTTGTCAGGTTCGAACATTTCTACCTCGGTTATATCCACGGTTGGTGAAATTGTCTCTGGCATAATTTTTTCCACTTCTTTTACATCCACCGCTGGCATCGTTTTCTCTTGTTCTGCCTCTTCCATTTCTGCAACCGGCGAAACTTCTACAATTTTATCTGTTCTTATGATTTCTTTTGTGTCTGTTATTTTAGTTTCATCTAGCGGTGAAATTTGCTTCGACTTTTCTGCAACATGTTCTACAAATTTGCTTTCTTCAATTTCTGTCACTGGTAACACTTTATCTGATTTTTCGTTTTCTACTGTTATTTCTTTTATTTTTATTTCTGTTGGTATGTCTTTCTCTTTTTCATCAATTTTTTCTATATGATTAAATATGATTTTTTGTTCTTCCTTTTCTACTTTTGGAACGACCAACATTTTTTCTTCTATAAAATTTACGATTTTGTCATTTGCCTCTAATTTTGTTATCAATTCATTATTTACTAGATCTTCAACTACTGCTTTTCTCTCTGTAATTTTATTTTTAGGTATTTCAATCTCTTTTGCATTGTTTATAATTGCTTCGACTCGTGTTTCTTCAGCTTTTATTTCTTCGATAGTTGGTTCGAATATTGCTAACGGGATAGTGTCGTTTTTCAAATCTTTTTTATTGTGAATTGTAGGAGGCTGAAAAGAATCTTCAATTGAAACCGCCGTAGGGAGTTTTATGCCAATTGATACTTCCTCTTTTGTAAAAGTGGGCAGTAATTCTGATTCAGCTATTGCTTCCATTGGTACTTTCACTTCTGCCGATGCTTCTTCAGAATTAGGGAATGGTACGGAATCAGTTTTTATCACAGGTTCCATTTCTTTAGCCTTCAAAATTATTAATTCATCTTGTAACTTAGTTTTACTTATTACCTTTTCATTTTTATCGATCTTTATTTTGATTTCGTTCTTCTCAATAACCTTCTTCTGCTTACCTTCTTTGTCTATTGCTGCATTTTCCTCTTCCACTTCTTTAGCTTTTATCTAACAGAACATAATTAAAGCTGTAATAATATAATAGAGTATTTTAATCCATAAATGTTATGATTAATTACATTAAAAGCGTTTTACAAATTTTTCTAAATTAATTATACTGTTTGACAAAAAACCAATTTTTTTCTCTTCGAAGAACCATATTCCAAAATTTTTTGCGCCAAATATTTTTTTGTAATGCCGTTAATAGAATTTGCGTATCACGCAGGATTTTAAGTAAATTAAGGTGAAATGGGCTAAAAATAGCGCTTTTAGCCATTTTCAACATTTTTTTTTATGGTAAAACGAAACCTTGTTCCTGTATCAAGTACACACTCCGAAGTTTTTTCACGTTGAACACGATACCGTCAAAATTGACGTAGCATATCAGAATTTTAGTAAATTGAGGTAGTTTTTGTGGCCCATTTTACACCAATTTATTAAGAGTCCTGATATGCTTCGTAAATTTTGATAACAGCATCGTGTTCAGCATGAAAAAATCGGAATATATGCTGTGATATTTCGGAGCAATCAGTGTTATTATAATAAATAGTGAGTTATTAAGTGAGATATTGAGATGGATATTGTTAAATATAGTGAGAATTGAAAAGTATTGCTTGTATCATTACTCACGAACAATTATCATTATTATAACCATTACTCATGAACAATGAATCTCAATATTGTGTCTGATCTCTTACCCCAACATACGTGCCAACTTGTTCTGCTAAGATATCAGCATCTTTTTTCACTTCACTACAGTCAGGGTGTTTCTGAATATATGGAACAGAAATATATTACTATCAAAAAATATACATACTCTGTATTTATGGTGATACACATAATACTACATTAAACTTGTTTTAGCTAATATCATACTGTTAGCTAAAACAAGTTTGTGTATATTTATATAATTGCAATATTTTTTAAATTTTATTTGTAATACGAATTGTATACCGCTGCTGTCGTGCGAATCATATTGATCGCATCAATCCACGATAGGATCGTATCCCGTTGTATCACGATGCCCTGATTTTGTTTATTTCCGGCCTCGATTTTGTTTACTTCCGGCGTTCGATCTTTCGGCATCGTTACTAGTCTATCATCAGCTTCTTCGACTGTCCGTGGCGTTACAGTTTCTTTAACGTCTACGATTTCAGCGATCCGTTTTTCCACTTTCTCAGCAATTTTCCTCTCGATTTCGACGCTGGGAATTTCATTTTCTTTCTTTTCTCTTTTTTCAATCCCGTCAACAGCGTTGTATGGTTTTTTAACTAATTCTTTTTGAAATTGCCTCTCTTGTTCCTCGGTAATTACGATTTCATCACGTTTCTTCATTAGTGCAGGATGTTCTATGTCCAACGCAATAAGTTCCTCGTCTGTCATACCGGTAGGTGACGAGACCACATCGTTGCATACGAAATCATGTGCGCACGGCACACCGTCATCCGTATACAATTCTTCTAATGATCCTAATTGTGCCAAATATTCCCGAACTTCTTTGAATCTCTGTTGCTCATAAGCTACGTCTTCCGGTCGAACTATACTTTCCGCGTCTTCGATTCGTATAAGATCTATCGGACGATCGACAGCAAGATCAGTCAAGTCAGGTTTAACCGAGACTAACTTATCGTCCACAATAAAAGTAGCTTCTACATCGGCGTCGGTTAAAACGACTCTCGCCAACGCTTCCTTATCCTCAACTTCGGTTATTGCTAACACTTCCTCGTCCACGACTTTGGTCTTCGCTAGTACTCCCTCATCCGCAATTTCGACCTTCGCAAGAACTTCGTCGTCCTTCACTGTGGCTATGTCATCTATCCTACCGATTGGCCGATGCACGACTTTAGCCTTTACCGCAACTTCCTTATCTGCCACTTTCGCAACGTCATCGTCGCGACCGATCGTAGCTTCGACTTTCTCGATACTTAGAAACTTCTCCAATTCTGTTCTACACGTGGCTAGTCTTGCCCGGCACTTCTCGAGCGCATCTTCCAATTCGCATACACGATTCGCGAGTTGTTGATTGGCGGCAGTTTTCATGTCCAATTGTTTTTGCAATGTGCTCGTCGTACTGACTACATCGCCCTCCATTTTTGACCACATTTCATCGGCCTGCTGAAGTGTTCTCATGTAAGCTTCCTCACGGCGTTCCAATTCGATTATTTCTCGCTTCGTTATCACCTCCTCCTCCGCTAATCGTTGTAGCTTCTCCAGACACTGAATGTCTCCGGACTCGATGGACGTCACGCTAGAAACTTTCCTGAGATGTCTCTGTTTACATTGTGTGTCACCGCACTGGCACGATTCGTCCATTTCCATTGCTTTCTTTTCCATCGCTTCTTGCAGTATTCTATTTTCCTCGTTTAACCGTTCTATCGCATTTCTTTGTTCCTCCTGAATCTTCCTGGCTTCATAAAGTTTTTTTTTTCTTTCTTCCAACGTCATGAGTTTCTCCGACCAAAGAGTTCGCGCTTCCTCCACTTTTTTCAACGCCAGTTTTCTTTCTGCCTCAACTTCTCGTACCCTGCAATCGTAATGGCAGCTCGGTGTGCTGCGACAAGAGAGTTCCCTCGTGTCTTTAAATTGTTTCTCCAGAATACGCTTGATCCTGCAGACAGGCGCTCCTTGCGACAATCTCCAAATATTCCATACCATCACCGCTGGTATCGAGCACTCAAGCATATCCAGACGTTGTCGCAAATCTCCTTCCATCTTTTCCAATTCTTCTCTACGTTGCTCTCGTTTACCAATTATATCACGAAGAGGACGTTGACATCGATATCTATCGACCGTCACCGTTGCCATATCGCCAATTTTTCCTGGATTGTTAATCTCGCGTTTTAATTTATCATATTTCTCGGTGCTATCGATTCTCTTAGAAAAGGATTCTGACGTAACCGTCTCTTTTAATATTCCGTTATTCTCCTTCATTATTTCTTTTTGGAAACAATTCGTTTCTTTTATTAAGAATCTTTCTTCTTCGCCTTCTGACGTATCTTTGATTATAAGAGTCTTTGATTCAGCGAGAATGTGACGTTTTATTTCTTTAGCATTTTTTTGATAAGTAGTACGCTCCGACAGATCTTTATTAGAACTATTTTTGTTCTCCATGCGCTTTCTGATGTGTAACTAAAGATTTACCAATATCTTCTAAATTTTTTATTGTGCTGCAAATTTAATCTGATCATCAAAACGTAGGTTAATTTATCTGTCATAATGTTTTCTAAGATATAGTAACCTATCATTGTAATAAGATGTAACTGCAATTCCGAAGAATTTACATTTGCAATTATAAAATATACAGCTGTGCGATTTGAGTCATTCTGTTCAAAATTCTATTTTATGATGCAGTTTAATGCTAAGTGATTGTGAAATAGCGTTCCTACTTTCGCGATTATTTTCATCTGTTTGGAGATTGTGTCAAAAATACATTCATTAATAGTGTTAAAGGATTTAGTGGGATTTCTAACCCAGTTTACCTGGCCAATTATTCCCTCTTGCGTCGTCGTACACATACATTATCATCATAACCATTAAATCATGTCTCATTGGTTGATATACGGGATACGCCTAGCACTCGTCGTTCGTTGCGTGAACGCACAACGCATTACGTTTTCAACGAAAACGCACCATCAATTTTGGACAGATTCCAACGTGAGCAGTTCTGTCGGCAGATTGCAGCAAATCATTCATGAGATTTGTCATAGCATGCGATTACAGCTTTCGATATCCCTTTGTCATAAATCACAGTTCTCGATACGAACGTATCTGTATATTTGGCTATCTTTGCTATTGATATACCGATCAAGATTGTTTTACTTTATTAACGCCTTCATTAAGATGAAATTTATATTTTGTTATATCTTTCATGTTATATAATAGAATAAGATATAAGAGAGATGGTGAAACAAAATCATTTTATGGTAGAAATGATAACATACTATACTTTATTATTAAATAATAGATCCTTTTTTTTAATGTGTACATTGGGTATAAAAATAAATTTTAAGATACAAAATTATCTTTTTATTAAATAATAGTGTTATTGTATTATTATTTTATGAGCAATAAAATTAGATTTATCCCAAAAAGATATGCAGACGTTATATGACAAGAGATTTTGATGTTAAACTTTGAAATATATGAGAGCATGCATAAAAGCAATACAGTATACAGCAAACTATTTTTATAGTGCACCTATATGCGTCAACCTCGGATATCTTTATTCATGCGCCGTAGTAAGAAATCGTTACTGAGATATGTTGAACCGTTTAACATCTAATATTAAATTTTACATAGAATACTTCTTAAATATTAAACTATACAATTTATAAAGTATATTTTAAAAATTTGGCAAAAAGCGAGAGCTGAATTCTATGCTAAAATTTTATATTTATTAATTGGTTTGACATAATGTATATTTTATTACTTCAATTTGAAACTCAATAGTTTTCATATTTAATAAAGTTTACGGAGAGTTCGCCGGAGCGTGAAATTTATGAAGAATGAACGAAGATGAAGAGAGAGATCTTTAAAATGATTTATAATTAAATTAGAAATTATTAAAGTTTTATAATTGTAGTAATAAAATGTTTATCAACGAGAAAAATAGTTTTTTTGAGAAAAAATTAGATTTTTTATGTTAAGACGTGTCTTTTAAATTTTTACAGAAGTTTCTTGTTAATTTACAAGTTGATTACAAAATTTCATGTGAAAAAATTTTTTTAACGTATTTTAATAATTTAATTCGTTCTCATAATTTAATAAATTTAATTAATAATTAATCAATAATTCAATATTATTAGAGATATATTATAATTATGTCCTAAAGTTTTTTAAAAGAATGAACTATTGCATTCATACGTATAACACACGGAGAAAATTTTATATGAAGTTTTAATATAATTTTAAATTACATTTTACTACGTCTTGTATTTTCGAGTAGAGCCTCACAACAATATTCCGACATAATTTTTTTTACTGTAGTAATACTAATTTTATCACATAAATGAAGTAATTTTTATTAAAATTAGTGCTAAGCCATGGAAAGAGTTAATTTTTACTATGGTACGCAAACAATATTTGCTATAGGTACATATATTTTTTATTATCTTTACAATACTAATTTTTATTCAACAAGGTTTGATTTTGTAATAAAAAATTTTTACTATGAAAAAGTGTAAAAATTACTTTATATTATTGTTTTTTTAAAAAAATGGTTATAGCATTTAAACTTATAATTACACGATGGTCCGCAGCTTCTACCGTATTAATAATAATTTTAAATATAAAATTCTCTTCGTGTACGTATTCATATTTTTATTAGTATGATAAGTGGATTAGAATAAATCTATTTTGAGGTATACCAAGATGAATACAAATGCACAATAAAATATTAAAAAATCCAGGATATTAAATCAACAGCGATCTTTGCTTTAATATTACAAATTGCTTATCTTTATTGGATAATGTGAGCTTGGAACAATATATTGACCTTTTCAACTTAAAGTATATATCGATCTTTGCTCGTTATAAGAGTGTAGGGTAGTGCGTTCAAGGATAACCCTAAATCCGGAAAAGATCATATACCTTAGGCTCCATCCATCAGACATAAACCTACCTGAATGAGAGGTTGACCTCACCTACTCTCGATTTTCTCTAGTATACACACGTATACATTCTCTCTCTTTCTCCATCTCACTCTTTCTGACCTCCATACCCTTCACAAAATCAATAGTGTCGGTGTGTCGAGTTTACCCTACGCTAGAACCACATTGGAAAACCCAAATTTGACACGCGATCGAAACCGCATTTTTAAAAGAATGAACTATTGCATTCATACGTATAACACACGGAGAAAATTTTATATGAAGTTTTAATATAATTTTAAATTACATTTTACTACGTCTTGTATTTTCGAGTAGAGCCTCACAACAATATTCCGACATAATTTTTTTTACTGTAGTAATACTAATTTTATCACATAAATGAAGTAATTTTTATTAAAATTAGTGCTAAGCCATGGAAAGAGTTAATTTTTACTATGGTACGCAAACAATATTTGCTATAGGTACATATATTTTTTATTATCTTTACAATACTAACTTTTATTCAACAAGGTTTGATTTTGTAATAAAAAATTTTTACTATGAAAAAGTGTAAAAATTACTTTATATTATTGTTTTTTTAAAAAAATGGTTATAGCATTTAAACTTATAATTACACGATGGTCCGCAGCTTCTACCGTATTAATAATAATTTTAAATATAAAATTCTCTTCGTGTACGTATTCATATTTTTATTAGTATGATAAGTGGATTAGAATAAATCTATTTTGAGGTATACCAAGATGAATACAAATGCACAATAAAATATTAAAAAATCCAGGATATTAAATCAACAGCGATCTTTGCTTTAATATTACAAATTGCTTATCTTTATTGGATAATGTGAGCTTGGAACAATATATTGACCTTTTCAACTTAAAGTATATATCGATCTTTGCTCGTTATAAGAGTGTAGGGTAGTGCGTTCAAGGATAACCCTAAATCCGGAAAAGATCATATACCTTAGGCTCCATCCATCAGACATAAACCTACCTGAATGAGAGGTTGACCTCACCTACTCTCGATTTTCTCTAGTATACACACGTATACATTCTCTCTCTTTCTCCATCTCACTCTTTCTGACCTCCATACCCTTCACAAAATCAATAGTGTCGGTGTGTCGAGTTTACCCTACGCTAGAACCACATTGGAAAACCCAAATTTGACACGCGATCGAAACCGCAGATGAGAGGAAACGGAACTTCTGTGTTTACTTGCGAAAGTTCCCTTGTGGATTTTTGACTCGATAAGACTGCCTCGGGACACTAATCGATCAATGTAATTTTACTCGAATAACGTAGAGTTCCAATTGATTTCGAACTTTGGAGACCGTCCCTTTTTCAATCTAAAGAAAAGTTTTCGCGACTAATCGCTGCTTGATACGCTCGACGCCGGAGGAACTTCATAAACTGCGTTAAATGCGATTGCTGAAACTTTACTGACAATGAGCTGCGTAAAATATAAGGAGAATATACTTTCGCATTAAGCTCGCCTTGCCGCAGGAGATACTGATGACTTACAATCATTCTAACAAACTGAGTTTTAAACATACTGATTCAGCCGTAAGTTTCACTTGACTTCAATTAAAACATTTTGCAGCAGTTACATGTTTGCATTTAATAACGCTAGTTATGAAGACAAATGTTTGCCTGTATTAGTAGATGATTACACGCAGAATATTTTATGCCATCGTACAATATCTTAATAACGTATTTGAGAAAATCTATTTTTAATTCAAAGATCTTAGTAGGAAAACGTTATATATTTTTCACGTTTTAAATGGTTTTCACGATTAAATGATTAAAAATTGGTCAACGCGGTTGCAAAGAGTTTATGTGTATATTGAAAAAGGGAATCTGATAATATAGCTGTCAAATATCGAGTAAAATAATTCGAATTAAATGTTCGATTGATATAGGTAATAAAAAATAATTTTACTTTTCTAAATATATGTAGAAGGATAAAATGATTTTTTATTATATTAATCAAATATTTGGTTAGAATTATTTCGTTCAACATTTGTTAGCTATTATTAAATTTTTTCAGTGTAAGCATATTAAAAGTATATTGTTTCTCATCTTTTTAATTGAAAGCATAACTTAATATGTTAATCAATCAATCTTGGTGTTGGATTGTATGGTTAAATAATAAAAAAATATGTAAATCGACATTTATAATACTTTGAATATTTCGGTTAATGCATAGTTTCTTTTTCCTTACGTGCTGTATTTATAAAAACCCGCCACACACATATTATTCAAACTCCGTGACTGGAGCAGGCAGGTAATGGGATAAATCGTTCCTTGCATCATCGTATTAGGAATGTAAAACCAAAAAATAGAAAATATAATTATTTCTTACGATTCTACAATTAGCGATGATTAATTTCTTGTTATTTTTCTTATTATTAATTAGTTTCTTTATATTATTAACAATTTGTATATTAACGCAACAGTTAAAGCGTGCTAATTTTGTACAGTTTTATTCGTTTGACGTAGAAACGAGAATTATAAATTATATCACAATACGACACAATAATACTTTCACATTAATAAAGTTGAAATCGGGAGTGCGAAGTGCCGCACGATCGTCATATTCTATAATAATTAAAGCGAGCGTACGAACGTAATTAATAGTTTTTGAGAGTGTTGTGTTTGTGTGAATACAATGAAGAAACTTGAGAGGAAGAGAAGGAGGAAAATCTACGAGGCGCATTGAGCAACGACGTGGGCGAAGCAGCTATGTGAAATAAGTATTTCCTGATTTTTAATATATATTTGTTACTTGCAGATTTATAAGTAATAAATAAAATATATTAAAAATTATCTAACAAAACAATTCTATGTACAGTTCATTATTTTATACGCTACTATGATTTGTGTGTAATTTTACTTTACAGTTTAAATGATTGATATTGTAATTGTGCTGCTGTGCATTGTGGGTAAG